TTCCCCTGCCAGCTCACCTCTGCTGCTGCCAGCCTGTCCCCTGGGTGCCCTGGCTGCCTGCAGCTGGCCCATTAATGGCTCTGAGGCCAAGGGTGAAGAACTCCCAGGAAAAGGTCCACGATTGCAAGACGAGCTTCAAGGGATGCTGACAACTCCAGCCTCACTAAGCCTCACCCAGCTGGAGTGCTGGTAACTGGGTGGAACTCCAAATATTCCATCACTGCTCCCTCCTCATCTGATTGAGCAGCACGAGAACCTATGGCTTGGAGACTTCACCACTTCACCTCTCAGTGTTTCATGACAGGCTGTCCTACCCATGGTCCTTGTCCAAATATCACGGTACCCCAGTGTGCAGATCAGAAGGTGCTGGGGCACCTCACAGCACACCCCACTGCCTCTGGGGAAGGCATCAAGGGAATGGGGACAGGCTCTTCCCAGCACTGCCAGGTGGGAGGGTGACAGATGGTGGCATCTCCTGAAACTAGAGAGGTTCAGGCTGGAAACAAGGAGTCAAAACCAAAATCCTTGTGAGCATATGAAGCACTCGGGTGGGTTGCCCAGAGAGATTGTGTGGTCTCTGAGCCCAAAGGTCAGCCTTCAAGACCTGAATGACCACTACCCAGAGTACTCAGGTCTGTGGTCATTGTTGACCTTGACCTGAGCCAGTAGTTGGACAAGAGACCTCCTTAGTCCCCTTCAAGTAGAAGCATTTCTGTGGTTTGGTGACTGGTAGGACCAGGGATGAAGAGGGACATCTGAGCATGAAAACCTCAGGACAGGCAAAAAAGGGCTGTGAGAGGGGCAGGTGTTGATGGCACCTACACTAGCACTTCATCAGGATCACATCTACGTGCTCCTTCTCAGAACACCAAGCAGGGACAATCCAGGGGATATAAAGTGATCTGCAAAAGTTGCGTCTCTTGTCACCTGTCTCTTGTCCACTGTCATTCTGTCCAGGCTAGGGGGAAGTACACATTTAGCTGCTTGCAGATAGGTAGATATGACAGCATGCAGGTGAATGAGTGAAATCAATGGTACTTTGAAATAATCTCCCTTCCCATCCTTGCTTCGATCTTTGCAATACTCTTGAGATCTGTTGCCTGAGAGGTTTTGAGCTGGAATGCCCAGAACTCCCCAGGAGACCCTTATAATCTCTGCCTAGAGCCCTGTAGTGCAACAGGAGCTAAACGATGAAGGATAAGAATACTTCATGTATTGCATCCCCCTTCTGGCTCACACAGGATCTGGGGGAGGTCATGAAGAGTGTATAAGAGGCAGGTTTCTATGCAGGGGTTGAAGCCATTCCATTTTTAAATGAGAACTGTGTGCGCTGGACTGTCTGAAAGAATAGAGTGACCTGTAATTATTTATATGTCCACAAATTCTTTATTTTGTCAGTCATGCCAATGTAAGATGTCTCATGCCATCATAGAGCATATAGAAAAAAGGGTCTTGAATATGTTACATTATCAAAATCCTGTTCTAATTCAATGATATATTTATAATTTGTTTACATAGCGGCCACAAAGCAACCAACAAAGGAAAGAAAAGCAAGCAAGCAAACAAAGGAGAGGCCAAAGAAGTACCACACAATTTCAATGGCTACTCTGGTTTCCCCCTGGATGCTCAGTAAAATAAGGAAAAATCCCCAGCAAGTAATGTGTTGTTGCCAAAATCAAATGAATGCCTTAGACTGCATGGAAGGAAAGAAGACCAACTCAGAAACAGGGAGACACAGAAGAGAAGATTTGGGGATAACAGTGGCATTGGTGACCCTATGAGCTGAGATTAAAAAGTCCTCAAGACTCCTTTTTTGTTTGTTTGTTTGTTTTCTTTCTCTAAAACTCCCCTGAAGTAATGTTTTCATTCAACTGGTCTTACAGTTTGTTCCCAGAACAGTTAGGAACTCCTTTCTCATTCCTTCTTAATCCTTCAGTTCCCTGGAAGCACATGTTTCTCTGCAAGGTTTGAGGCTTTCCTCTTAAATCATGGCTGCTTGGGCATGCCTTGTGGCAGCTCCCCTAAAACCAGAGCAGAACAGTATGGAAAAGTAACACTTAGTCTCTTGCCATTTCCCCTGGTACCACATTGAGAACAGAATTGCTTTCTGGTTTCACCCTTGTCCTTCCCTGGGGACAGATGGGTTTTCATAGCACATTGCAAACATACAAAAGAAAACATAACAGGAATGCAAAAGTCAAATTTATTCTTGCTCTTGGTACTTCTGAACACTGATATTGAATAAGCAAGACAAGCAGGTTGTGTCACCCAACTACATTGAAGAGGTTGAGGCATTCCACTCGAACTCGGCTGCTCTCATTCCTTTCAGAGCCCATTCAGATTCAAGTCGGTGCCAGCTGAGCTAGAAAATGTGTTGCCCCCAGAATGAATTCTGCTGTTAGTAGTGAAATATTAAAGAATATTTACTTGTTCTTTTACCTTGGGCAACTTTGTGGCATGAGTTATCTTCTTGATCAAAAAGGTGCCTGTGAATCGTTATAATACCAAATACACTACCTCATGAAGAGATGGTTCATGAGAAGAAATGTGTCTCCTTGATATCTATTTCTGAATGACATGTAAAAGAAACCTTCAGAAAAGATTAGATGAGAAGGTAGGAGGAAACCAATACATCTGGAAATTATCAAATGGACAAAGGTGGAAAATAAAAGCATCCTGTGAGGGAAGAATAACTGGAGATCAGCTACTATTCCTTCTGCAGAGTTATCTAGAGAGAGAAGTCCTGTCACAATACCATTTAGTTGGATCAGGCAACACTTACACGAGAGGAATTCGTGTTCTTGCAGATGTAGTGACTAGTCAGTAAGAGATACTGATGTCATCTTCTAAATGTGACCTGAATCTCAAAAACCACTTGCGGACCAATTTCCCCAAAGTTAGGTAGGATCTCACAGCTTCCGATGGCTAAAGTGGCACCCAGCACAGGCTGTGGGGACATCAGCCAGGTGAGCTTACAGAATGGCTGTGTGCAGATGCCTGCTGCTCACTCGGAGGGTCTGTGGCTGCCAGAAGTGACCAGGGGTGGACAGGTGCTGGCAGCATCAGACGAAAGGAAATGGTCCCTTTTCTCCTTGTCCCAGAGACCCACCCATCAGGGATTGAAGGAAGGAAACCAGATTGCTGCTTACAACTTGGCTCTGAGCATGTTTTGATTTTGAAAGGTATGTTTAATAAAGGGTATCTTATGTTGACAAAGTGTCCAAAGTAATTTTGTGGTTATGAAGTAAGAGCAGCTGGGGTCTTTGGGGCTTCATGGGTGGAAACCCTCTTTGGCTGAGAGCACCCACCCACCCATCACCCAGGCACGTCCACAAAACCAGCAGTGTCTGAAAACACTTTGCAAGGTCCCTTCCAACTCACGTGATCCTACCATCCTAAATGCTGCTTCCTCCAAGCCCTGCCAGGATGGGGAAGGTGCAAATGCCAGCAAAGCTTATGCAGGAAGAGCCTGGCCTGGGCCGGATGAGGACACCCAGATGGGACCTTTCTCGGAGGGCAAGAAGAAGAGCACTAAGGAGCTAGTTGTTTGTGCAGGAGAAATCCCTACAGTGCTGGGGAAGGAAACTTGTGCTGGGAGCTGATGACTTGGGATGCAGGTCTTGGTGGTCGCAGCAACTCTTTCAGAGGAGAGCTTCGAAGGCTGAAGCGGAGCAGGGCTCCACATGAGCTGCACACGGGTCAGTCAGTCAGGGGGTCAGGTGCCACCACACAACCCGCCAGCGGCCCC